AAAGAGAAAAAGCTTGTTTTGTTTTGTTTTGTTTTAACAGACATCAAGCCAAATAGCATTTATTTAGTCCAATTTTGTAGTTGAGACATTGTCAGACTTTTAAAAAAGAAAATACAATAAAAGTACTTGCTATAAATGTAAAGTATCACTTGTCATACTGAAACTATTGTTGATCTATATATTGACCAGAAGTATTTCAATTTATAAAAATCTAATTTATGTTCCATAGATCCCATGATTAAGCATTATTTCCCCTTTTTCATCAATTTTCTCACTGAAGTTTCTATTTTCTGTAATGTTTTCTTCATCTATGTAAAAGGATGTATTTGACAGTAAAATGTTGAATGAGTGTGCTGGTAAATTCTACACATCTACCAAAACAAGTTGGAAGGATACTAAAATATTTTGAATAACCACAGTTTTTATAACAGCAGAAATAAGGAGAAATGAAAAGCAACAAAATTTAGTAAAAGATATAACCACTTATTTGATTTATTTTACCCACTCAGTGTAAAAACACTCTATCACTTTTAAAAGGGAGGGGCCTAGGAAACCAAATACTTAAGTCATACAAAATATCTAATGTTTTTAGGCTAAGAATTTTTCCTGATTGCTCTTTTTGGGGGGGGAGGGGGGCTTTGGTTTAAAGGAAGGAATTAAATGATATAGAAAAATAATAAAAATTTTAAAATGACATAAAATGCATAGGTTTAGGCTTATCTCATTACTCTGCCTTCCAGAAGGGTCTCATTTGAAAAGTAAAAGAGTGATATTGGATGACGTCCAGGGTTCATGGCCTCTCCAACATTCTGAGAGTTGAGAGTAGAGTCAACACTTTTCCTTTTCTTGATTGTGAATGCTATCCATTACCTGCAGTAACTTGAAACAAAACAAATGCTTTTGGGGGCACCTGGGTGGCTCAATCATTAAGTGTCTGCCTTCGGCTCAGGTCATGATCTCAGGGTCCTGGGATCGAGCCCCGCATCAGGCTCTCTGCTCAGTGGGGAGCCTGCTTCTCCCTCTCCCACTTCCCCTGCTTGTGTTCCTTCTCTCACTGTCTCTCTCTCTGTCAAATAAAAAATCAAATCTTAAAAAAAAATGCTTTTGGAGTCAACCATTTGTACAGGTATTTCTACTCAAAAGTAGAAACAATGTTGGAAATGAATGACCTGTGTAATTCACATGGATATACTAGCAGCCTAAATGTAGCAAAAAAAAAGTGGTGTCAACATGTTAGCAAAATTTTCAGCAGACCTGGCCCATACAGACATTCCACACATAAAAAATGACTCAAGTAACAACACAAGAATGCTCCCTTCTTTATCACAAAGTATACAAACACAAATGTTCTAAAGGCTTTTTCATGGTTTGATGACTTCAGCCAACTTGCTGGTTCAAGGTCTATAACATCTCATTTCCAAAGAGCTACATACAATCCATGCAGTGTCTAAGGAACTACCTATTCCTGCGCTGTGTGTCTTCACTATTCGGTGTATTGCTACAATGCATGCTCGCTATAGGATGGTCATTTTAGAATGCTAATTGCCTAACTTATCCTATACCACCTTCTACCAGTTACCTCCTGTACTCTGCACTATTCCTGTTCTAATTACAAAATAATAATAATAATAATAATAACAACAATAACAAAAGTAACAACAGCAGCAGCAATCCCTAATGGTAAAAACAAATGCAAAATCTACAAAATCACTTCCATCCTTTAATAGAGGGCACCCAGTTTTCTTTTTTTCTTAAGATTTTATCTGTTTACTAGAGAGAGAGAGAGAGAGAGAGAGAGAGAGAATGAGAGAGGAAGAGAGGGGGAAGTTCAGAGGGAGAAGCAGAAACCGCCCCCCCCCCCTGCCCCACAGAGCAGGGAGCCTAATCCAGGGACTCCAGGATCATGACCTGAGCCTAAGGCAGTCACTCAATCACCCGAGCCACCCAGGCACCCATGGGCACCCAGTTTTCTTATACTACTTTTATCAGTGTTGTGTTGTGAAGACCACAGGAAAGATAAATCAATGGGATCTAGTTCTAATCCCAATTTTGCCCCAACCTAGCTACATAACCTTCTATAAACCACTAACTTGCCCTGATTCTAGGTTTTCTCATCTAAAGTCAGGCGTTTGCTGCACCATCCCAGGAGAAGCCACCACACTATGCTCCCGGGATGGCATCATTAAAGCATCTGATGTGCACCATGACGCTGGAATCGTGTGATATGAGGCCTGCATTATCACCTCTCATTTTTTAATTGTGCAATAGCATGCATGATTTTGAAATCTGAAACCTTTACTATGTGATTTCGATATTTCCACTGTATTTATAAAGTTTCAACCTTATACATATCAGAACTTGGTGAACGAAGACAAGGAATTGAGAGACAATATATCAGCCATGAAATCAGAAAAACAACTGTGGCCTTTCCCATCCAACATCTGATTTAGTTTCACTGCCTCAGCTTCATTCCCTTGGAGAGTCTGGTCAATGGAATGTGTGTCTCAATGACAGAATTTCAGAGTGGAAATTCTTTATCAGGCCAAGTGATTCCATTTCACCACCTTCTTACCATTTGTGACTCAGTTTATAGTTCATTAGTGTATGACTTAGAAGGGCAAGTGATTTCAAGAATAACTCAACTATTACAAGAAGGTAACATCAAATGCTTATAAAACAGGTTCCCTCAAATAGCTTTTCTTTTCGGTGTTTAGCAACTTCCTCCCAATCCAGTTTAAGAATCCTCTCTGGAATTGAGATGTGGAAGGCTCTACCTCTCTATAAATAGGCTCATCCCATGCTATGTGAATCATGGTTGTTGACAGCAAATCAACAGACTAATTATTTGGCTTTGTTAGTAGCGATAATAGCACACTAACATCTTTCCAAATCTTTTTCCACACCCCATGCCCCCATTCTTCTAAGCTAAGCTTCAGACCAGACTGAAGTGCGCGGTGTACAGATGCATGCCCGTGGGCCTCGCATTGGGCCTGGGATCTCTCAGCCACATTCTTGTGAGACTTTAGCTAAACAAAAGAAGTCACCAGCCAGGATTCTCTCTGCCAAGATGTACACTAAGTAAATGAAAAAGAGGAGCCGATTAAGTGAACACTGAAGAAAACAATAAACTCAGCAATTCCCTCAAATTCTGTTTTCTAGTGAGATGCTAAGGAAAGGGCCACAGGAAGTAATGTCCCTCATGTAAAATTAAACCCTGCAAATTGTTCATGTCCAGATCAACTTCCACAAAGATCAAGTGAGTTCAGCTCATCCATTCACAAATATCACCCACCTATTATTTTTACTGCCTTGTTTAGAACTGAGGGGGCTGAGGGATCTATTTACAATTATCACTTAATTATCTCAACTGGAATACAAGAACATACTTCAATGACTGAAATATAAGAGTTACATTGAATTCAGAACCTTGAAGTTCCTTGTAGACCACATAAACCCTTAGAGAAGATGACCCCCCAAATGATCCCTGCACAACAATACAAGGGATTTTATTTTCCCCTAAAAGAATTATATATTCTATAAATATTGAACCCTAGTTTTCATAGAAAGCTTCACTTTATGAAATTAGTAGGCTAGATCAATTGTATGTAAACCGAAAGAGATTTAGTAGCTCTTGCCTTGGGATCATGATCTTTTCGTTTACTCCCAAAATTTACTATTTGATCAACAACACAGAGAGAAGGAGTCTACTGTGAAGTGACTCGTGTCATGAAAACCCATGGGAAAAACGAAAATGAGATGGTTTCTTCATAAGACTTAACCCTAAATTTCTAAGCTAATTCTGAGCTTCGCTGATCCACACTTTCTAAATGTTTTCCTCACCCCAATGACCCTAGCCCATGTTTCATTCCTGGAACCCAGGAGTGCATCACAGAATTGCAAAGATGCTAACCTAAACCAGTCAACTGATCTCTGAGCAAGCTTTCTAGGCCATATTTCCTCTCGTTGACCACACCAAGAGGAGAGTACCTCCGGATTGCAAAGGACCCAGCAGGCCACACCCAGAGAGGATCAACAAAGTCTGGTGGAAGGACAAATCTGGGCAATTTTGCTTTCATTCTCTCAAGCTGGCCTGGTTTGAGGTGGGAATAAGCACCCTGAAACTCAAGGTATCCACTTTCCCTTTGTAAATAAAGATCACAATAGAGACCAACCATGTGAGTTTAGGGACAAAGAGGAGAATCAACTTCAGAAGGGCCTTAACAAGAAAATCTCTGATAAGTCCAAAGTTTTGTGGTTCTTTTCACACTCCCTTAGGCCAAATTGCAGATACTATGTTGTTTCCTTAATGTCCCAAAAGAAAGTGTGAGTGTGCAAAGGATGGGAGCAATAGGGCAGAAAACTTAATGAGCAGAATCTGGGAAACCAGGAGAGTCCTGGAGGAAGAGAATAGGAAAAAGAAGTCTGCGTAAAAGGAAATGAAGGGGCATGCAGGAAAGCGGGGAGGTGAGAATCCATCGGAATGTCTGAAAGATGCAATATCATGTGTTCCTGGGGGAAGAGTTTGAAAAAGAAAAAAATTAAGTTCATCTGGTGTCTACTAAGTGTCTGTGTCCAGAACTATGCTAAACGTTATGGGAGATAGAGGGAAGAAGGTTTATTTACATTAGGGTCCTCAGCAGACAGTATAAGCACTGTATGGATGGATAAATGGATGGATGAGAGAGAGAGACTATGAATGAGATGGTCGCTGCCTCAAGGATTCTACAGGCTTTATGCGACCAGGAGCATCTATACATGTAGCTCTCATCTTAGTCAAACTGTGTTTTCATCGAGATACAAAGTGTTTTCCTGAATATGGGACAAGAAGCTATTAACTGACAGAGGGTGACTGAGAGAGAGACGTCTGGAAATTGAGGGAGAAGGGGGCCAGAATGGAGCCAGGGGGATCCTGGTTCCCTTCGGTGGGCGCCCCCAGGTGCTTTGCAAAAGGGGAGAGAGGTGTCAGCTCTGGGGAGCCCACCGCCTGGGCTTCTACTGACCTGGTCTCCGCCTCACTGGCCTCTTGCGGCCGCTGCAGAAGCGCACTTTGCTGAATACCCCGAGGACGTGCCTTTCGCACAGGGAGCGCCCGTCTTTGCTGGGGCTGGAGCGGCGCTTGGAGGCCGACACCCGGTCGCTGTTGGACTCCCTCGCCTGTCGCTTCTGCCGGATCAAGGAGCTGGCTATCGCCGCAGCCATAGCTGCTCAGCGCGGGCCCCAGGCCCCGGGCTCCACTGCGCCCTCGGGATCGCGCTCCACCGGGGCGAGGGCAGGACCTCGGCGGCCTGGAGGGACAGGGCAGGCGCGGGGAGGCAGTGCTAATATTTGAGGAGGCTGCAGTACGGAAAACCCGACGCCCACAAGGTTAGTCAGAGTCTGGGCAGTGGCGACAAAATGTGTGAAAATCCAGATGTAAACTTCCCCAACCGCTGGCAGCGGGGGCGGGGAGGTCCCAGGCCTTCCAGTTAACTAGACTCTTGCACCCCAAACTTGCACCCCACGGCGATCCGCGTCCGAGGGGCAGTGGGGAGTTTGGTCACACTGCGTTCAGAGTACCAAGTGGAAGGGTAAGAAGGATGTCCAAAACAACAAGCCGTGCCCCCGTCGGAGAGGCGCAAGCGTTGTAAGGTGTCCAAAGTATATCTACACATACATACATATAAAACCCGTTTACAAAGCAGAGTCCGGACCGAGGCGGGTAGCGAGCCCCCGGTAGAAAATACTAAAAAGTGAATAAAACGTTCCTTTAGAAAACAAGCCACCAACCGCCAGAGAGAAGGAGAGGAAGGCAGCAATTTAACTCCCTGCGGCCCGCAGTTCTGGAGATTAGGAGGTCCGTCCCGGCTGGGTGAGGTCTACGGAATGCATCGCGCCGGCTGCGGTTCTCCAGAGGCCGGCCGCCGGAGTTCTGGAATTCCGAGAGGCGTGAAGTGGGAGCCGTGAGCCGGAGTCGGGGTAGGGGCGCGGGGCGGGGGCAGCTGTTTCCAGCTGCGGTGCGCGCGACTCCCCGCCAGCAGCGCTGCGTTGAGAGCGGGAGAAGAGGGAGGGGGAGGGAAGGAGGGACAGGGAAGGAGGGAGGGACGGAGGGAGGGAGGGAGATCCTCGAGGGCCAAGCACCCCTCGGGGAGAAATCCGCCAGAGGCGAGCGCCGGGAATGCGCGGGGTCCCAAGAGCGGGCGCTCTTGCTCTTTCTGCTCGCTTTCTGGCACAAGACGGGCACAGTTGGTGATTATTTAGGGAATCCTAAATCTGGAATGACTCAGTAGTTTAAATAAGCCCCCTCAAAAGGCAGCGATGCCGAAGGTGTCCTCTCCAGCTCGGCGCCCACACGCCTTAACTGGAGCTCCCAGCCATGGTCCGCCCGGTGCCGCCGCACGGAGCCGGTCTCCGCACAGGCTCAGAGGGAGCGAGGGAAGAGGGAAGGAGGGGGCGCCCTGGTGGGCTCGGGATCAGGTCATCGCCGCGGTGCCCGGGCCCCCCAGGCTCGCGCGGCCCGGCAGTCCGCAGCTCGCAGGCAGCAGATCAGATGGGGATTACCCGCCGGACGCGAGGCCGATCACTTGCTCCCGCGCAGCCCATCCCGGCCGAGGAAGGAAGTGACCGGCGCGCTGCGAACCCCCGCGCGTCGGCTCGGGCGGGGCGGGGGCTGGCTGCGGGCGACGTCGGCTCGAGGCGGCTGCGGCTCCGGCCCGGAGCTGCCCACCATGGTCTGGCGCTGAGAGCGCAGGCGGGGCCCCCAGGCCGTCCGGGGCGACGGCGGGAGGCTGTCGAGCGCGCCCCCGGAGCCGGACGCAGACTCTGGGGTCAAGGCCAGGGAGCAGGTGCGGGCTGCCGCCAACTCGCCCAACTTGCTGCGCGGGTGGCCGCTCAGAGGTGCGGGGTAGCGGGGCGCCCCTAGCCGCCGCGCCGCCGCCTCCCCAGGCCCCGGAGGGGGCGCTCAGGGCGGAGTCCCATTCATGGGCAAAGGCTCTGGGCGCGCCGAGCCTCACTGGCTCCCGGGCGCCGCCGCTGCCGCCGCCGCCGCCGCCGCCGCCCAGCAGGCTCGCTCCGCGGGAGCGCTAGCGCCGCAGGAAACTCTAGGCGGGGACGACAGCCACGGAGACGGAGGGTGGAACGAAGAGCTGGCGGCCGCCGGAGTACCTCTGGCACAGCTCGCCCACCCGCCCAAGGGCTTGACAGCGCCCGGGTGGGGTAGGGCTGGGGGTCGAGCTCCCGGAGCGCAGTGAAGCGCTGCGCGCTCGGGTCCTCCTCCCCTCCCGGGCGCCCTCTGCTCCCAGACTCTCTTCTCCCTCCCTCCCGTCACCCCTCTCCCCCTTCTCCGTCTTCCGTCTTTCCCCTTTTCTCCTCTCTACGCAATCCTACGTGATTGAGGTTTGGATGAGAAATTCTCAGAGGCAGAGTGAAGGAACTGCAGCTCGGGTCTGTTCTGTCCCATCCCTCCCCCAAGAGAAAACACAACCACGGGCCGGTTAAAGGACCCTGAGTGCACAAAGAAGGGGTTAGGAGAGAAGGAGCTGAGGGAAAGCAGCCGCCCTCTCCCACAAGCTGGAGCACACAGAATTCTCTGTTAAGGAAGGCAGGCAGTGGACACTAGAGAAAGTAACAATGACCTTTTGGGCCCTCATGTTGAGCCCCACCTTCAGCTCATTTTGTAACAGGATGAAGTGCTTCTGCATCCTTGAAACCCAGTTTTCTTGGTTCTATCCAGAAAGCTGCAGAGCAGGTTCTACCCTTAAAATGAGGGATCAAGTGAGTGCCCTGCACAGAGAGGAGAATGCGGGAGGGGTGAGAGGGTGATTGTGGGCAAGGGCAGTCAACAACCAGCTCTGGAGTGCAGTCAGGTCTCCAGGATGCTTGTGATGGCAGACGGGTGTTACAGAAAACTCAGCAGAGAAGATGTTGTCACCCAAGTTGAAAGGCAGCATGAAAGATTTTGGAAACGTAAAGAAATAATCACCTTCCATTTGTGCTATGGTCTGGATGTGACTATTAGTTATATTTATAATCTCTCTTCCACTTGTCTTCAGATAATCCTGCCCCTTCTGTCTCTCCACTAAGCATCACGGGCAGAGCCAGAATATTAAATGGATGATTTCCAAGAGAAACGCATATATGTTCAAAACATCCTCATAGAGGGCAAGGAACACGCAGGCCTGGAAGCTACTAGAAATGGATAGGGGACCCTGAGAAGTGGTAGCAGGAACTCTCCAGATGTGGGCACAAACCTAGCAGAAATTCACTTAGGCAAGGAGAAGGACTGAGGCCTCTGAGCACTGTGTCAAACAACCCTACGGTGTTTGGGGGCCTGGATATTTCATGGTGCTGCTGGATGTAACACAGACAGAAGGGGGTTTATGAGCCCAACAGCTAGGAGGAGGATTCAACAAGCAAGGAACCCTGAGAGGGGGGAATCCCAACTGTCTACACAGAACACAATCCCCTGCAGCAATGTGACTGAATAAGGACAGTGAACTTGGGATTCTAACCATGCAGAACAAGAGAGGTGAAAAAGACACACACACACACACACACACACACACACACACACATATCTTCTCCAAAACTGAAGCTGAATACATTTTCGAAAATGCATACCAATAGGGCAAGAGGAATTACTTAAAATCAATTAGTGACACTGTCAATTAGGGAAATGTTCACATTTCACCAATACCAATAAAATCATTTTCCTTCCTTGGCTACCAGAAGACTTGCCTCATTCTTCAGGAAGGCAGACACAAGTAGTACTGGCTGGCTTTGGGGGTTCCTGGCCTCCTGCAGTTCAACACCCAAAAGGAAAAAGGTTAGCTAAGGTGAGGAATACAGGGAGATGGGCAAGCGAGGGGTGTGTAGTGAGGCCCTGAGGAAATCATTGCTAAACTTGGAGTTTCTTATCCTCAAAATGAGAATAATCAGTCCCATCTACCTCACAGAACTGAATATGTATGTGCAAGCATTTTGAAAACTGGAAAATGCCAAACGAGTAAAAGAGATGATGACTGTTTGTTTGTTTGTTTGTTTTTAAGAAAATGCATGATACTCTTCTGAGATGCTTTTTTTAAATGCAGATTCCTGATGGTTTCTCAGAACATGAAGTACAAGTCTCTGAGAAGAGGCCAGGAATTTGAGTTTTTAGCAAGTTTTTCACGTGTCAAAGCTTGAGTTTTACACACACACACACACACACACACACACACACACAATGTAGGTAATACTAGAAGGAAGAAATCAACTCAGACTCTCCAAACCTAGCACTTCTATCAAATTGCAGTCCTGGTGTTCCCACTGCCCACCCCACCCAACCCCCCAAAAGAAGAGTCTGGAAGAGAATGGGTGTTTTCTAATCTTTGACTGTGTTGGGTTTTTTCTGTAGGTTTAGGGGAAATGAAGATGTTCTGATGCAGAGGGTAACCAGTGGAGTGGCACAGGATGGAAGAGGGTGGATGGGGCAGGAGATGAAAATGCAGACAACACGTGTTTGAAGTTCTCCTCTGTCTTGACATGCCAGCATCAAGTCAGGCATTTAAGGAACAAAATCAAAACAACAAATGGGAGCTTTCTGAGAGTGACACTATTCCTGGCTTTAGATCTCTATTAAAAGAAAGCAGTGTTTCCGATTTCGATTAGACAACAAAGACTACTCTTGTACTTGCACTCCTGCAGCTGTTGTCAGAGTACTTGTGTAGCTGCTTAGCCCTGGAAGTCATCCTCAGCATCCTTTACTTTATTGACTCCATTTCCCCAAGGAGAGGAAGAGGTAAGTCTCCAGACCTTTGAGAAGTTATCTAGGATCCATGCACACAGCTGTTTAGCTCAGAAGCATTGCTTAAGTTAGGTTTATTTGTTTTTTTTAAACACCCCAAACCTGTTCCTGTGGCATTTTGTTTACCAACTCTTAAGTATTCTTTTTTTAAAGATTTTATTTATTTATTTGACAAAGAGAAATCACATAGGCAGAAAGGCAGGAAGAGAAAGAGAGGGTAAGCAGGCTCCCCGCTGACTAGAGAGCCTGATACGGGGCTTGATCCCAGGACCCTGAGATCATGACCTGAGCTGAAGGCAGAGGCTTAACCCACTGAGCCACCCAGGTGCCCCAAGTTAGTTTTTTGACATCCAGAAATTCATAACTTTCCTACCAGGCCACTAAAGTTCAGAAATCTTCTCCACAGTTATAAGGGCATTTCTGTATCCTTGCATTTGGG